CTATACGATTTGCTTCCTGTCCCAAAAATCCATAACGGATGCCCTGGACCCTTGGGTCTGGTGGACGTTTTCCTGACTGCTGTCTGGCCATGTCACAGGTGGATTCAGGAATTTGTCCCAGGAATGGCCCTTGGCCTTTGGCCAGCCTCTGTAATGGAGCTGTGAGTCCTTTATTCCAGAGGACCCGAGTCTCCACGGTTTGGTTGAACACGCTGGACGCTAAACCCCCTTTATCTGTCTCTAAGGGCCACCACCACAGAGCCCCAGGAGCCCTTCCGAGTCTGAACCCCTGGCCTGAGTAGCCCCTGCCGTGCTCCAGCGTGGAACTGAGTGCTCTCCCTCGACCCTGCCGATCACCTCCCTGCGGTTCTGACATCTCTGTCTTCCCTGCAGGGCTTCACTCGGCTGCTGAAGGATCAAGCAGGTCTTGAAACCACGGAGCCTGAGCCGGTAAAGGCCAGTCCAAGAAGGAAACCTTCAATCTGAAGCCGCTGGGCCAGAGGCGGAAGGTAGTGTGCGGCTCACAGCCCTCGAGCGAGCGTGGGAATAGGCAGTGGCTTTGAAAACGCGAGAACCAACTGGGAGACCCACTGAGGGCTCTCAGCTGCTGCCTGGGCTTCTCAGGAGTCCCCTCGACCCCTCCGCTCTCTCTTCCCAGTGAGGCTGGTGCCCAAGTGTCTATGACAGCATTCAGTGCCCAGGACAGCAGGTGACTTGGGTACTGAACTCTGAGCCAGCTGAACGCATTCACCTGGTTTTGTTTTACTCCAGGGAGACTTGCTTTTCCTTCTTGGTAACATCGCCCCTTGGCTTTTCACCTGGTTCTCAAGTTGAGGGTCTCTTTCCCTCAGTGACTTTCTGGCATGTGAGATAATCAGAAGGTAGTGCAGTGCCAGGCTTTGTCTCCAGGAAGACGCCAGTCCCTCTGTGGACCCTTCCTCGAGGCAGAGGTGCATGGGGGCCCTTGGGTTTCACGTGGATTGGCGTGAATACTGGAGATCAGAGGCGGGCGCTGACTTGGTGGGCTTTGACTGGGAATGGGGCAGGACTGTCCATCAAAGCTGTTCTCCTGCGAGATGAAAACGCCTTCCAAAGTGGAAGTTTTATTTATGTGTTTGTTGGTACTGGGATTGAACCTCTCAGCCACATCCCCAGACCTTTTTATTTATGTTATTTATTTTTCTCAAACTTGGGACCTTCCTGCCTCAGCCTCCGAAGTCGCTAGGGTTACAGGTGTGCGCCACTGCGCCTGCACCATGGAAGTTTTTTGGATGAATGTAAATTTTTAAAAAGTAATTCATGGTCACTCTTGAGAAAGAAATCAGTGTTAAAAGCTTTAACAGAGAGAAGAGACAGCCCTGTGTGGCATCCCACAGGCCACTCACTTGTCCCAGCAAGCACCTTGCATTCTCTTTCCTGTTTTTGTGTTGTTTGTACCTGCTCATGGTGGGGGGGGGGGGCGGGTAATTTGCTTCAGCCCCTCCCAGCTTCACAGATTTCCTTCGACACATCCAGTAGCTAATTAGGCTACATCGCTGTGGTGGAACTAATATCATTTTATTGTTGAGCCAAGTAATGTTCTGCTTTAGAATGTTTTCTGTTGCTATAACTAAATACCACAGGCAGAGTGATTCATAAAGAATAAAGGTTTATCGAGCTTATATTCCTATAAGCTGGGAAGTTCAAGATTGGGTAACTGTCAGGTGAGGGCCTTCTTACTGGTGGGGATTCTGCAGAGTCCAGAGGTGGCACGAGGAATCAATCACATGTGAGACAGAACTCCTATCCAAGGTCTTTCCTCTCCTTTTAAAGCCACAGTTCCATCAGATTAGGCCTTTACTCTTGTTGCCCCATGTAGCTTTGCTCCTCTGTGAAAGGTCTCGCCTCTAAATCTCATGGTAGTTTCCACCTTCTTAGTAGCTCACAATGAGAATTAAATTTCAGCGTGAGATTCCATGTGCCTCAAACTGCAGCATGCACTATATTGTGGTTCGGTCTCTTTTTCTTCCATTGTCTGGCTTTCTATTTTTCCTGGGGTTAGTGATCGCCTCATTTTGTGCACTTGCTAAGTTTTTTATGCATCTACCATTAATTTTTTTTCCTGAACGTTCTGATGTAACTGTCATTACCGGCACTAATTTTTCTACACACCCGAACACAGCAGAATCGATGGTCTTCATTTCCTTCTTCCTGAGCCATTTGTCTTACACGTGTGGGTGGTTTCTGCGTTCCTGCTCTGTAGCTGTTGTCCTGGATTGCCCTTCCACTGAGCGATTCTCTAGATCCCCAGGCTCTGGATAACCTCAGATAGAATTCTAGATGGAGAGAAAATTTCCCTTGGAATTTTAGAGCGTCTCATTGTTGTCTTCTGCGAGCTGTTTGCTGTTGAGAAGTCCAAGGCTCCGTGGTTCTTGACCAGGTTTTCTGAGTGCTTTTTTTAGATTCCAGGGATTGAACTCCAGGGCGCTTAACCACTGAGCCACATCCCTAGCCGCCCCACCCCTCGCCTTTTTTTTTAAGAATATTTTTTCAGTTGTTGATAGACCTTTATTTTTATTTATTTCTATGTGGTGCTGAGAATCGAACTCAGTGCCTCACATATGCCAGGCAAACGCGCTACCACTGAGCCCCAGCCCCCCCAGCCTGTTTTTGTATTTTATTTAGAGACAGGGACTTGCTGAGTTGCTTAAGGCCTCACTAAGTTGCTGAGGCTGGCTTTGAACTCATGATCCTCCTGCCTCAGCCTCCCAAGCTGCTAGGATTACAGGCGTGCACCACCGTGCCCAGCTTTCCGAGCACTTTTAAGATGTGTTGGAATCGGGGGCATCACCGCTTTCCCCAGGCAGTGGGACCTGGAGAAACAGTTTCCTCCCTTCTGTCTGTAGGACACTGCGCTGTGCTCTCTGGCTCCTGGCGGGGAGGTGGACAGGCACGGATGCCTGCCTGGGGAGGCTGCCTCGTAACAGGGGAGACGGGAGGCCTGGGGGGAGGGCCTTGAGCCCGGACGCTGCCTGTCCCACCGGGAACCTGCTGTCAGGAAGGAGGTGCGGAAGGGGGCGAAGCACGGGTGGCCCGCGAGCCCTGCCCGTGCTCCTGGCAGAGCGGGGTCTGCCCTCGGGGACCGCCTGAGCAGGACGTCTTTCTTCCCCGCAGGACCCGATGGCTGCAAAATCCCAGCCCAGCGCTCCCCAGCCCGGGAGTCCCGGCCGCGTCACCAACGGCAAGGCGGCGTCTCAAGGCCAGTGGGGCCGCGCCTGGTGAGGTCTCCCCCGTCCTCTCAGAGGTTTCCACCTGGGGCTGTGGCGCCCCCGTGGGGACCCTTTGCCTGAGACGCTTCGCCCTCAGCCCGGGGGTGAAGTAAGGGCTGGAGCAGGGGAGGAGGCCCATCTCGGTGACCATCCCTTTTCCACGACGCTTGGCACCGTGGGGGCTTGCGACTGATGCTCTGGAGGTTGGGATATCTGCATGTGGGTACCGAGGTGCGGGGCCTGAGCGTCACGCGTACTGCATGGCCCCTCGTACCCATGAGCGCGGGTGACTTGGCACAGTACTTGTAACACCTGCACTGTGAGCCGACTGGCCACGTGAGCCAGGTGTGGGCCTTTTCACTTGGCCCCATGTGCGCCCTCTGAGTTCCAGCTTCTGGTCACTTTGGGCTTGGATGGGGATGTCAACCCCTGTCGCCTCCTGCACAGCAGCGGGGCCCTGCGTGCCCTCGGTGGCCTGCCATGGTGCCCGGGGTCTCGTTTCTCAGTGTGAGCCCCAGGATGGGGGTGGAGCGTCCTCCCTGGCCTGGGACAGGGCAGGTCTCGGGGGCCACGAAGGGCCCTGGGCTCCGTGGGTGCCCTCGGCCCTGCCCATCTCCGAGGAGCGGCTGGCCGGCTCGGGCAGGGTGCGCACGGCGGCCCAGGGAGGCGGCCTGCTGACCGCCGGCCTCCCGCAGGGAGGTGGACTGGTTCTCCCTGGCCAGCGTTGTGTTCCTGCTGCTCTTCGCGCCCTTCATTGTGTACTACTTCATCATGGCGTGCGACCAGTACAGCTGCTCGCTGACCGCGCCCCTGCTGGACATCGCCGCCGGCCGTGCTAGCCTGGCAGACATCTGGGCCAAGACCCCGCCGGTGACCACGAGAGCCGCCCTGCTCTACACCTCGTGGGTGGCCTTCCAGGTCAGACCCTGCCTGGGGTCGGTGCAGGGGTCATGCTCTCCTGCCTCTGACTGGGATGTGGGGTCCTGAGTCGGGGGACAGTCACATCCCTGGGACGCCGCAGGGCGTGGTGGAGACGCGGGGCAGGGGCGCCTGTTGGCCAGGAGTGTGCCAGCCGGCAGTGACATGCAGAGCGCACAGCAAGGCCAGTGGAGGGCTGGCCAGACCACAGGAGGGACTGTCCCAGCCCCCAGTGGACGCTGCAGAGCAGGAGGCACTGCTGGCAAGGCCAGGCCAGTGTTTCCCAACACGTCCCCTCCGTCCTGCTCAAGGATGTCCTTGGCTCTGTTGTGACGGCGCTGGCCTCCAATCCAGGAGGCCACCAGGAAGGGTGGCTTCCCAGGGCCACGTCCTCAGCCCTTTTTGTTTTTTATTTCAGACAGGGTCTGGCTAAGTTGCTTAGGGCCTTGCCAAGTTGCTGAGGCTGACCTTGAACGTGTGGTCCTCCTGCCTCAGCCTCCTGAGCCCCCATAAGGGGACTAGGAAGGACCAGAGTGTCCCCGGGGCAGCTGGGCTGTCAGGGTGTCTGTGGCGCATTCCAGGGTGGGTGCTGGTTCGAGGGCTCTTGTGGAGTAGACGCTGTTGAGTGGGGCACCGCCCAGGCCCCAGGGCTGCTCTGCCGGTGACGCAGCAGTGGACCGCCCCATCATGCTGTGGGCTGCCGGTCACTGGGCTGGGCGCTGTGTCTCCCAGGTGCTCCTGTACACGATGCTTCCCGACTTCTGCCACAGGTTCCTGCCAGGCTATGTGGGAGGAGTGCAAGAAGGGGCCGTGACCCCGGCAGGTACCCCCGTCCACCTGCCCACACCCTGGGCCCTGCCCGGGCCAGTGGCATGCAGGCGCTGGCTGCCCTGTGCCTCCATGTCCCGGGCTGGCCCTCCCAAGCCAAATCCGTCCCAAAGACCACTCATGAGGAGAATGAGTTTACTGGGAACTTTCCACAGCGCCGGGCTTCCAGGCAGAGGAGGGCAGCCGTTGTCCCCATGTGAGGCTGAAGTCCCTTCCTCAGTCAGGAGGGGCTCCTGGCCCCCACTGTCTGCCCGTCCCGGGGCAGATGGATGGAGCGGCCTCCTAACTCAAACCCTGACCGTCCTGACCCCACCCACCTCAGTCCGGCTTCAGGCTGCGCGTGGGCAGGTGGTTTGGACGTCCTCCCTGTCTCTGCCCACAGAGCTCCCTGCCTGGGGGGAGGCTGGCGGGCTCCGGGCACTCACAAGGGGAGCCTGGGACCCATGGGACAACCCTACTCTGCGCCTGTTGCCCCTCCTGACAAACCCCAGGCCCACGACTCGGTTGTGGCCAGTGAAGGAGAATCGGCCAAGGGAGAGGGCTGGCCTCCCTCCCTTCTGCAGTCTGAGGGGTGCTACTGGCCATTCGGCTGGTGAACCTGGAAGTAGCTTCCTCTGGGATGGGACCCAGGTTCCCTGGACAGGGGACCCAGGGAGCAAGTCGGGCCTCGACCAGGCAGGGACAGGCAGCCAAGCGACTGGTGCAGGTCAGGAAAGGCTGCGACGTGTCTCGCCCTCCCCCGCAGGCGCCGTGAACAAGTACCAGGTCAACGGCCTGCAGGCCTGGCTCATAACGCATCTCCTCTGGTTTGCCAACTCTCACCTCCTGTCCTGGTTCTCCCCCACCATCATCTTTGACAACTGGATACCGCTGCTCTGGTGCGCCAACTTCCTGGGCTACACTGTCTCCACGTTCGCCATGATCAAGGGCTACTTCTTCCCCACTAATGCCGAGGACTGGTATGTTCCCTAGGAGCTGGTCAGACCCAAAGTGGGCGGGGAATGCCTCCACCCTGCCTGTTTCTACTGCCCTCGGGTAGGAGGTCATGGCGCCCCGAGGACTGAGACTCCTGGTGGGGGGCGGTGGGCGGGAGTCCTGTGACTCTGGGGAACGTCCTTTCTCAACGTCTGGTGCTCTCTCGCGCCTTGAGAAGAGAGTGGCTGAGTCATCATTTGTAGGGTCGTCAGGGAGCAGGGACACCAGAGACCACTTCTCTGGGAGCAAGGACAGACTATTGCCCATGTCTTTGGACTGCCTGGGGGCACCTGAAGTGTTCTTAGGGAAGTTGTATCTCAGCAGCTTGAGGTAACTGCTTCCCTGTTGGTTGCATCCATTCCCAAGGAAGCTTCTCATTGCCCACCCATCCATCTATGCATCCATCATCCACCCTTCTCTCCACTCACCCACCTATCATTCATTCATGTGTTCACCCATCCATCCATCCATCTACAATTCATCCATCTACCCATTCATCCATCCACCCACCCAACCATCCGTCCACCCACCCATCCATCCATCATCCACCCATGTACACATACATCCATCATCTACCCTCTCCATCCATCTACCCATCTATCTGCCTTCCTATATGTCCACCTACCCATTTATCCATCTTTTCGTCAATAGATGTTTGGTAGGCACTTCTTGTAGACACTCTAAATAGCGGGGCTCACAGTTTAGTCTGGGGATCCAGCAAAACAAAGTGTATTCCATTAATTGTTACATTTAGGCTCTTGGAAGTATCTCTGGATGATGGTGATTTTTTTTGTTGTTGTTAGTTTTTGGTGATCTGTTTTATAAAGTGTGTTATCGCTGGCCTCCCGCGGCTCCCAGAGGTCACTATGTGCTTTATAATCATCACCTGCTGTAACAGCCCAGCTGAGGGAACTGGACGTGAAAACTTGGTGTTCTGATTAATCCCTGTTTGTGCGCAGCAGGGTCTGCGTGTGGGTTGTGTGGCTCATTCTCTGCCCCCTGCCTGAGGCTGGGCTGTGGGTCAGGGACCAAGGTCACACATGGCTGTGGATCTTGTGCAGCAAGGGAGACCCCTGGGACCCAGGCTCTGGCTCTCCTTGTCTACGGGTCACAGTTTACACTGTCACTTTCCCTGGGGCCCCAGGTCTGCTGTGTGCTGCGTGCCGTGTGCAGAGTGAAGTCTTGGCTGGGCTGGTGTGCAGCTCCCCCGTGCCTGCATCAGGGCATGGCGGTGAGGGCAAGGAGGACCCAGGAGCTCCCGCGGGGGACGTCTCTGCTGGGCCACTGCTCGTGGAGTGATAGCAAAAGAGGGTGCCAGGCTTGGGCAGGAACCTCAGTGTCCCAAGGCTCTGTGTGGCTCTGGGTGGCCCATGCCAGGGTGTCACCTAGGCCACTCATTAACCCACCACCACCGGCACCCCCCACAACAGCGAGGCGCGGTCGGTGCGTGAGGCCTGTGGTGAGCGCGTCCTTCATCTGTTTCCAGCAAGTTCACGGGCAACTTCTTCTACAACTACATGATGGGCATCGAGTTCAACCCCCGCCTCGGGAAGTGGTTTGACTTCAAGCTGTTCTTCAACGGACGCCCGGGGATTGTGGCCTGGACCCTCATCAACCTGTCCTTTGCAGCTAAGCAGCAGGAACTCTACGGCCAGGTGACCAACTCCATGGTCCTGGTCAATGTCCTGCAGGTGAGGCCCACAGGGACGAGGGCCAGAGCTCTGACCCTGCTCAGAAGCCAGAGTCCCCTCCCAGGGCGTGGCCGGGAGCCCTTCCTTCTGAACACCGTGGCCCCTCCTCGTCCCCTCCTGGGCTCAGACCCTGTGACAGGGACCTCCCCCGCCCCACCCCAGCATGGCAGGAAGAGCCGGCAGTGCTGTTGCGGGGTTCTCCGCGGCCACCCAGGCCACCTGCTCTGGCGTCGGGGTGGCGGCGGCCAACGCGCTCCTGTCCTGCAGGCCATGTACGTGCTTGACTTCTTCTGGAACGAGACCTGGTACCTGAAGACCATCGACATCTGCCACGACCACTTCGGCTGGTACCTGGGCTGGGGCGACTGCGTCTGGCTGCCGTACCTGTACACGCTGCAGGTGAGGAGTGGCGGCGGTGGCCAGCCTCTCGGGACTCGGGGCTGCCCCCAGGGCCCTGTGCCGCCCCCAGGCACCCAGGGCCGACCCTGAGCACACACACTGCACCAAGTGCCGAGGTGTCTGTCCCTGGGGGGCCACTGAAGTGGTCCCCGCTCCTAGGAAGAAGGGAAGGTGCTGTGTTCTGTGGCTCCCCGACTTATGATGGGGTCCTGTCCTGAACATCCCGCCCTGCGTGGAGAATACCAGATCAAAAGTGCACTCTGAGGCAGTGGGGGACGCGCGAGGCCAGCAGCCGCGCCACAGTCCCGGGCCTGCCCCAGGGCTGTGCAGGAGTGGGGAGCCACAGCGTGGATCGTCCTCTGGGACCAGCTGGGAGGTGGGGTCAAAGCCGGTCACAGGGCGGTGATGGCAGGTGTCTGGGTGGCCTGCCACCCGTGCCAGGGCCCCGAGGAAATAGCTGCTCCTGGCAGAGGGTGGGGTGAGGGTAAAGGCCCTGGCATCGTGGTGACTGCAAGTCTGCCAGGGCCTGGCAGCCCACCAGGACCTGCTCCTCCACTTGGCTGGCTGCCGGCTCGCTGGATCTGGGACTGGCTCCATTTCCAGGCGCTAAACTGTGGGAGCGCAGTTCTCCTCGGGGACTGGGCCTTGATTAGTGGCTTGAGGCCAGCACAGCCCTCTGGGTAGGTGCTGTGTCCAGTCAGTGCAGGACCAGGGCCATCCCGAGGCCTGCTCCTGCCCATGTCTGGGAGGCGCTGCTCACCCATCCCTCGGGCCCCCGCAGGGCCTGTACCTGGTCTACCACCCCGTGCAGCTGTCCACCCACCACGCCGTGGCTGTCCTGCTGCTGGGCTTGCTGGGCTACTACATTTTCCGGATGGCCAACCATCAGAAGGACCTGTTCCGCCGGACGGATGGACGCTGCCTCATCTGGGGCCGGAAGCCCAAGGCCATCGAGTGCGTGTACACGTCGGCAGATGGGCAGAAGCACCGCAGCAAGCTGCTGGTGTCAGGTTTCTGGGGCGTGGCCCGCCACTTCAACTACACGGGCGACCTGATGGGCAGCCTGGCCTACTGCCTGGCCTGTGGCGGCGGCCACCTGCTGCCCTACTTCTACATCATCTACATGACCATCCTGCTCACCCACCGCTGCCTCCGGGACGAGCACCGCTGTGCCAGCAAGTACGGCCGCGACTGGCAGCGCTACACCGCCGCTGTGCCCTACCGCCTGCTGCCCGGGGTCTTCTAGGGCCCAGGAGCTCCGGGGCCGTGACGAGCGCTGAGCCCGGCTGGTGGGGCTGGCGTCCCAGCCCTCTCCGGGAGCCCAGCACCCTCACCTGGAGACACAGCGCCCGGCATTGTGCCAGGGGGTTCTGGGTTCACCGCTGCCTCCTGCCAGCAGGCCGCTGGCGCCCTCTGGTCTGCCCCCAGGGCAGGAGGGACGGCCCTTTGTAACTGTTCACGTGGGAGCCCAGGCTGCCGCTCTGCCCAGAGGAACCCGCAGCTGAAGCCCTTCAGGCCATCTTGTCCCCGAGGCGAGGACGGCTCTGACGCCTGCGAGAGAAAAGTGGGACCAGGAGCTGCACGCATCAGGCTGCCCACACCCACCTCACGTCCACTCTGTGGCCATGGGCAGGCCCTGGGGACAGCCCTCCTTCGCCGCCTGCACACTGGTAACTGATCAGCTGAAGGCACCTGCACACTGGTAACTGGTCAGCGGAGGGCCCGAGGGACGCCGCAGAGCCAGGGCGTCTGGTTGGTTTCCTTTTGCTCCTGCTGCACAGCCGCCAGGGGTGTGGCATGGTGTGTGCAGGACCAGCCAGCCCAGCTATGGCCTTTCTGAAATAAGGCCGCGGGCTCCCCGTGCCCGGCTCCGGGGAGGTCACCCACCAGCCTCGGCCACCTGCCTGTGGAACGTGTGTCCAGCTTGCTGCTGACCCTGAGTGGACTCTGGCTCAGAGAGCGCCGTCCCAGGCCTCGCCGTGCCTTCGAGGAGTCCCCGCTCGGGAGGGGCTCCCTCCCAGGGCTTTCCTTACCAGCCCTGTCCCAGACTCAGGGTCTTCTGAAAGCTCTCTTCAGACCTGATTCCACAGCACAGCTGCTCCTTTTTTATATTAAACGTTCCCTGTTCAGATAAGTCCCGGTGTGCTTTCTGTCCCTGGGTGGCCTCTCCCATCCTAGGACTGTTTGTGGGTGCAGACCCAGCGTAGGTACCCAGCAGGGACTCGGTGAGCCGAGTGCCTCCACGTGGGTGCTCGGCTGGAGGTGGGGCGTCTGCTGCCGTCACCAGTGGAGGAACCACGCTCGGCACTCGTCCCAGCAGGTGGACAGATGTGGGAGGCCGACTAGCGCGTGACCGTGTCTGTCTCCCCTTCTGATCAGTGTGGCGTCATCACTCTGTGATCTGGTTGCCTAGGTAACCCGGACAGTAGCCCCGATCTTCCTACATCCCCACGGAGGAGCTAAGCTCACCTGTTCCTCTGTGGCATTACCCCTAGCCCTGTTGGGGATAGAGTGTTCCCTGGAAACACCTTTGTGTGTCCCCTTCTCTCGCTCTGTCTTTGGACATGGCCTTCCTAGATGTCAGTCCACCTGCCGACAGCAGACATCATGAGGCTAGACTCAGCCCCTGAAACCTGAGCCCTGGCCTCATTTGAATGGCTTCTCCTGGGTAGAAGGGGTCAGCACGTCCAGGCTCGCGCTCGCTCTCTTTCTGTGGACCCTTAAGGTCAGAGGAGCCGTCACAGCTACCCGCAAAGAAAAAGGCATTTCTGTCTCTTGTGTGGTCATTTCACGCAGCCCAGTTAGCCCAGTTCCCCTGGAGTGACCCCTGAGTGTCTTAGTCGAGAGCAACCTGGCAATTGGCGTCCCTTGGTGGGCTAGAGGTCTGCGTGTTTAAGTCACCGGGAACCCAACAGAGAGAATCCAGAGAAGGCCGGGCCGTCTGCTCCTGGAGAGCTGGAGGTGAGGCGCACAGAAGCCTGTGCCCACTCCCCAGGGCAGCCTGGCCTGCTTCGGGGTTCAACTGGTTGGACAGAGACAGCGGCTCCAGGGTTGAACTGTGGGGCCCGCCCAGGCTGGCTGGGCAAGGGTTCCTGGTGCTCCACCCTGCCTGTCTGAGAACCAGGCCTCCCGTCCTCCCCAGACACTGAACGAAGGCTTTTTGAAGAGGCTGAGGTATGACTGTGGGCTCAGGTCCTGAACCCCGCTGCCCACATTTGAATTCTGACACTGCCCTTTAAAGGCTGTGTGGTCTTGAGCAGGTGACCGAGCCTCTCTGCGCCTCAGCTCCCTCACTGGAGAAGTGGGGTGAGCTATCGTCTTGCTGCCTTGCTGTGAGGGGGATTTCCCAGACTCATCTGCGGGAGCTCTGGGCTCAGGTGCTGGAGGTGCCTCTTGTCCACTGGCCAAGGCTCTGTCTTTCCTGTGCCCAGCGCTCGCAGTGTGCCCAGGGAACACAAGGCCACATGAGCTGCTCCCCTCAGTCACCAGACCGCGCCCTGCTCATGGGCCTGAGTCCTCCCCTGGGCCAGGACAGGTGGGCCAGCCCCTGCTGTTGGCTGGGTAGAGGACACACACTGTTGGAAAGGTCACAGCCTGGGCTTCTCGGAAAGTGGCCTGGCTTGTGGCCCCCAGGGGACACTGCTCCTGACAGGGGGTGCTGTCCTTTATGCCCCACCAGGCACCAGACAGGTCGGACCAGTTGGGAACCTGCAGGGAGCGGCCGTCCCATGAGGAGGGGGAGGCAGACAGGCCTGTCCTCCCTACAGCCTTGTGACACAGGCCACAGGCTACCCCTGGCCCAGCAGCAGGCTAGCGTGCCCCTCCAACCTGCTTTCACCACCTCTGGGGACGCAGGTGACCCAGTAGTACTTGTTCGCCTCCATCCCCAGAGGCGGCGGGCAGGTTGCACCCACAGCACCGAGCCTGGGGTTTGAAGCAAGTGGCCCCGGTGTGGGTGGCGGAGGCCGCGTGTCGAGACGAGGGTCTGTCCTGCCGAGGGAGATCCAAGGCCGAGACAGGCGTGTGGCACAGCCTGTGACCATGGGTGGGAACGATGCTTGACTGTTTCAACACTGCCGAGAGAAGTGTTCTCCCCACAGGAAATAAGTAGGTCAGGTGCCATCACCCGCTAGCTAGCTGGCCGTCCCCCCGCAGTGGGCATCGAGAGGACGCCCCACGTCCTGTCCACATCGTTGGGCTCGTTCCCCGGGTTCTGCCTCCTCCACCCAGACAGCCCCGATGGGAAACAATGAGTGGGCGTCAGCCTGGCTGGTCACACACGAGAGACTCGTCATCATGCCCCGAGCAACGCTGAGTAACCACCGTGTAGGAGACGCCCTGCCGGGCTGGGCGCTGAGCTGTCCCAGGGGAGCCGCGCGATTGCCCAGGTCCTGTGCAAACACCACGCCTTTTTCTATAAGGAAAAGAGCACCTGGACTCAGTCACCGGGGGGACGGCTGTCCAGTTTCTGTCATTTAGAAATAAAATTTTAAAAAAAACTGGGCTGGGGCTGGGGCTCAGTGGTGGAGAGCACTCGCCTGGCACGTGTGGGGCCCTGGGTTCGAGCCTCAGCATCACATAGAGATGAATGAAGGTATGGTGCCCACCTACAACTAAATGTATTTTAAAAAATTACTAATGACCAGTGAAGGTCTGAAAACTGTGCACTTTCTCCTGCGACCACAAGGCCAGACACCAACAGTGCACGGTCCCAGCTCAGGCGGCCAACCAGTGAGCCTGGACAGACCTGCACAGGTCTACCTGCCCCTCCCAGGATGGGGGTGGACCTGGAGGTCGGCCCAGGGAGTGTGGCCTGGGCATGCAGGGACACGGCAGGAGGCCCTCATCCAGAGGGACAGCGGGAGCAGCGTTGCCACGGCTGGGCCTCTCCCGGGCACGCGGCCAGGCCGTGCTTTGGTTTTCTGCGGATTTTCTTTCACTAGCGATTTTTAAAAGCTGCGAATGCACAGTGACTGCACTCTTGGAGGTTTATCCTGGGGAAATGAGAACTCTGACCCAGCAGAGGACTTGCCAGAACCTTCTCGGCAGCTCTCCAAGAGCCGGAGGCGACCTGGGAGCGTTCCCGGGGCTGACTCCTACTCAGCGTCATCACCACGTGGAATTCTGTTACCACGTGGGGCAGTGCGTGCACTTTTAAAATTGTGCAGACTACCCCAAAATAAAATTTAGAGAAACATAATGCGTCACAGTGCCCCCCCACTGTCGCCCCCACCAGGTTCAGAGCAGCGCCCGCCCTGCCTGGAGCCAGCCCTGGTCACCATCCGGGGATGGACACACAGGTTCAGGTCTCCAGGAGGATCTTTGGAAACAGGGATGACAGCCACTGCTCAGCTGCCTGCAGCTTTGTCACTGTCTGAGAAATGACCTGTCGCTCCACGTCAGCGACGGCCCTGGTTCTGAGAGCTTGGTGGGATTCTGTTAGGTAGATTCACTTAACAAGTCCCCTTCTGCTTTTCAAAACTTAGTCACAGTGTTGAAAAGCAGAAGGGGACTTGTTAAGTGATCACTGTGAAACACCAACATAGGCCCTTGAACTTGCTGGTGGTGGATCCAGCGCCCCCTGGGGCTCAGTGCGCTCTGAGCAAACGGGAAAGTAAAGATTTTTATACCATTTACTAAAACACCAAAGTCCACAATAAAACCTTACCATTGTCGGAGACTTGCTTACACTGGAGACCGTACTTGGTCTTGTTTAATACAGGATGGCCACTCTAGGAACCTGGAGACTCGGGGGTCCCCACACCACAGCAATCGGAAGAAGGATCTTTTCAATAAACCAACGAAAAATTTTAAATACCAAAACGTTTGGGTCAAATATAGGCTCAAATGGAGAAATGAGTTTTGATTCTTGACTCACATCATATAAAATTGAGGTGGATTGCTAATCTACATGGGAAAAGCAAGCAAAGTCTTTTTTAAAAAAGCAAAGGAATGATTTGGGTCAGACAAGGTTACGATGAGTGATAAGAGGACTCGTCGCAAACAGAAATTGGCTTCTGATGAAATCAAGGACTTGACGCAAAAAAGAAAATGTGCAGAGGGTGAGGGGCGGCTCACAAGAGGGGACGGAGACGGTGCTGACGTGGGCCCTCCCAACTGCAGGGACTCAGCCCAGAGCGCAGAAGGGCCCTCACGACCCGGACGGAGGTGACCGCCAGGGAATCCTTGTAGGAGGAGGCAGCCTTGAACGAGATGACCCCTGAGCACATGGGATGGGCTGGACCTGACTGGCCATTGGGAAATTAGAGCCACAGGAGCTCTACGGCTGCGCCAGAGTGACAGGGGCCCTCGGGCCTCCCTGGGCGAGGAGAGAAGGCACTCTGCCCTGGCTCCTAAGGGTACAAGTGGTAACCCTGAGAGGGTTGTTGGGTCCCTGGTCTGTCCTAAGAACATGATCAACAGAGCCGGAGGTTCCATCTGATGGTCGCCATGGCCACCCCTTGCACAGCCGTCCTGCAGGAGTGTGCCCAGCTGCTGACCGCTCAGCCTCAGGCTCTGCCACCATCACTAATCCTGGGGGTTGAGGATCGTGGCTGCGAACCATCTCACGCCACTCTCCCACCATGTGCCTTTAGACTGCCCATCACCTGGGCCTTGAACGGGCTCCTGGTTTGCGGGGGACACGTCCCCACTGCGGAGCTCTGCCGTCCAGGTGCCATCCTTCTCTGGAGACTTTCTCTAACTGTCCTCCAGGTGGGCAGCCTCTTGGGGGAACCGCATGGCCATGCCTCAAGGCCGAGCCCTCCTGTCGCTGGCCAGCAGCCCGACGTCAGGGCACGTCCCCAGGGTGAGACAATCACGCCCCTCCAGAGACAGCACAAGAGCGTACAGGGCCATCGCCAGAAATAGGAGGAAATGGATGTGACCTAAACGTCCACCACAGAAGAACGAATGTGGTACAGCGGGGGATGGAGGCCACACAGCGAGAAGGGACCAGTGGGGCAGGACAGTGGCCCAGCAGCATCGGTGACCCCCAGATGGAGCCAAGGAAGCCTGGCCACGGGGCCAGCGCTGCGGGGTTCCATGGTCATTCCATCGCCTCAGGAGAAGCAGAGGGTGGGGTGTTCTCCAGGTGCCCAGGCGGGACATTGACGTGGAAGGACGCAGAGGGCCAGCCTTGCAGGGACCGGAAACAGCAAGCCCTGTCTCTCCTGGTCACTCAGGGGTGAGAGGCCACCCAAGATGCACACCCACCTTCCAGGCCAGCACCTCTCCTGAGGAAGGAGGAGGGCCGAGCAGGGCAGTGCAGCAGGCCACACCCAGGCTGGGCCCCAGGGAGGTGGACCGTGGGAGGGCCGCAGGGGGACTGCAGGCTGGAGCGAGGGACAGCAGCAACAGCAGGGCCACTAGGCCAGCCCGAGGGAGTGGCTTTTGCAGAGATGTTCAGGGGCGGAGGAGGTGACCGCGCAGGAGTCCCCAGGCAGACGGACAGAGGGGAGCCTCGTGGCCTTGGTGGCAGGTGTGGCCTTGGTGGCAGGTGTGACCATGCTGGCTGCCCAGAGCCATGGCCCCACTGTGTGGCCCCACTGTGTGCCCCACAGTCCTTGGTGGAGGTGAGAGGAGAGATGTTGGTGGAGGTGAGAGGAGAGATGTTGGTGGAGGTGAGAGGAGAGACGTTGGTGCTCTCGGCTTCGTCCGGCGGGGCCTTCCTACTTTGTGCTGGAGTCGAATTCTAATGGTCCTGGGACGCGGCACCCGCACCCCTGAGTGCCTTCAGCAGCCAGAGGGCGGTTTCTCCCAGGTCCCGGGATGGCGTCAGCAGGGGCTTATGGAGAAGGGTCAGGAAGCCAGGGTGGCGAAGCCGGCTGTTCCATCGCGACCCCCTGGTCAGCGCCCTCGTGTGCAGAGGCCGTCTAGGGTCCTGTGGAAGCCCAGGTTCCAGAGGGGCTGACCTGTCCTGAAGGGGGCATGTGGCCTTCTCCCTGCTGACTGCCCGCCCACTCCCAGCTGGCCAGCGTTGCAGCCACAGTGCGGTCGTAACCGCGCCCCTGTCCCCCTTGCCCCTGCCCGGCCTGCCTGTGTGCCCGGCCTGCCCGCCTCTGTGGCACTCTCCTCTCTCAGGTCGCTGTGGGTCATCTCTCCTCCCTGTTCAGGGCGAGGGCCGCGCTGCCCAGCGGCTGGAGCTTGTCAAGTCAGGTTTCCTGCCCCCCCAGACCCAGGCTGCGGGGTTTTCCACGTCCTGTGGCAGGACAGAGCCCTGGGGGGGCCACAGGCTCCTAGACAGTGAGGTCAATCTAGGACAAACAGAAACGAAAGTGTCCAGCCCGAAGGGCAGCACTCAGGCCCCCTCCAGGCAGGGCCTGGTGTCCCCTCAGGCAAAGCCCTGAGGTCACGGCTGGGTCACAGCACACAGAGATTGTTGTGCGTAGGCATGCCAGGGCCACCAGGGCAGGAGCCTGGTGCCAGTGGCCTTGCTGGGCAGGGCAGGAAGGTGGGTGGCCTCCTTGGGGATGGCCCGGGTTTTGAGACGTCGGGTTCCTTGAGGGTTTCATTACGGGGTAACTCGGATACACGGGCGGTCGGCTCCTTGGTGGAGAGACGTGGGGCTGCGAGGGCTCAGGCGCTGCCTAGGTCTTGGTTTAGTCCTGTTGCCCCGGAGGAGGGGTTTTCACTGCTTAAAGTCTTGGGAATTCTTTTTCTAATAGGAAGGGAACATGTCCCCGCACAAGACCAACCACTGCCGATAAACAGAATCAAGCTGACAGGTGATCCAGCCCCACCGAGGAATGCAGAGGTCAGAGGAGAGACCATGGCACAGGTGAGAGCAGAGACCTTGGTGGACGAGAGAGGAGGGAACTTGGTGGACGAGAGAGGAGACACCTTGGTGGAGGTGAGAGGAGAGACCTTGGTGGAGGTGAGAGGAGACACCTTGGTGGAGGTGAGAGGAGACACCTTGGTGGAGGTGAGAGGAGAGATGATGGTGGAGGTGAGAGGAGAGATGATGGTGGAGGTGAGAGGAGAGATGATGGTGGAGGTGAGAGGAGAGATGATGGTGGAGGTGAGAGGAGACACCGTGGTGTAGGTGAGAGCAGATGGTGCTCCGGGTGTCGTGCTCCTGGGCAGTGTGCTCCTGGGGAGTCTTCTTGAGTGTAGGGGATGGTTCTTCTTTTCTCTGGACGCCCTTTTGCCATTAAAAACAGCTTTCTGATGGAAACATTAGCTTTGTGGCCCCGTTTAGTTTTCTAAGACTCTCTGTAGGGGTGGCCGCTGGGGCCGTGGGCTCCCATGCAGGCTCCAGCGCCCTGGGGCTGGGCAGCGGCCACCTCTGCACCAAGGCTGTCTATGGAGGGGAGGCTCTGCTGGCTCTGCCCAGGGACATTCACTGCAGTGTCACCAGCATTGCCTTTCTCACCAGGGACAGGCCAGGCAACTGCTGAGCGTGAGAACGTCCCCACAAGGGCCTTGGCTGGGGAGAGCAGGGCACCCTCTTTCCTCCCTCCTCCTGGAGATGACAGGCTGTACACCTGTGGTGTCCTTCGCGGAGTCAGCGAGGCCCCATCAGCATCAGCAGGCACAGGTGGAGGTGGAGGGGCCGTGGTGAACCCCGGGCAGCCAGAACTGCCAACTTTTTGATGTGGAAAGCTGGGTCCTTGTCCCCATTGCCGATCCAATGAGGGCAAGGCTTTGAGAAAAAGGCAAAAGTTTTCTTGATTTGTTAGCAAAGGAGGAGCTCGGGGACTCCATCGCCGTGTGGGACAGGGCTGGAGATGAGTATCGTCAGGAGACATGGTTGATCAGTGTCCGTCCCGGGTCCCGGAGGGCCGCTGCTCCAGGTCCTGGGCTTGGGGTTCCTTTATTCTGGGGCAGCAAGTCTCTTCCAGGCGTGAAGGACATGGCGGCTCAGCCTGTGACAGGAAGAGTCTGTTTCCCCCCACCAGGGAGGGAGGAGGAGGAAGGGAAGAGATGTCCATTTTGAAATAAGCCACTTGCAGTTGAGCAGCCAGGTTTGAACGGGAGCGCGGAGTGGCCCCCTGGACGGGGGGCTCAGGAGCAGAAGCTGGAAAGGCCAGCAGCTGTTTGGGGCACAGAATGCTGGTGATCACTGTGACTTCGTGTCCTAACTGGAAACGCCAGGCTCTCCGAGTTCAAAACTGTCAAGTGTCTTTTCTGGCCAGAAAGAATGTCTAGCACATAGTAGGGATGCAAGACAGAAAATCTGTCCAGGGGCTAGGGCTGGGGCTCAGTGGCAGAGACACTGGGTTTGATTCTCAGCACTGCATACAAATAAATAAAATAAAGGTCCATCAACAACTAAATACATAGATATGTAAAAAGAACAAAGAAAATCCGTCCAAGGGTGGTGCCTCTCCCAGGCTGACAGTAACCCCTGCTGCAGGGGCCTGGGCTGGCCCACGCAGCCAGCAGCGGGTGGACCTCCCTGGCCATGGGGTGGGGTGGGAAAGCAGACTGGCCCGCCGGCCCCGCACTCCTTGGGCTCCCCCTACAGGACAGAGACTGCCCCTCAGCACTCGGAGGACCACAACTGCACGTTTTAGTTGAATGTGTACGATAAAACTCCTCTCCCTTTTGTTGTTATGCTTTGGAAACTTGTCTGAATGTTGTAAAGCTGTTACACAGTAGGACTGAGTATAAAGGTTGATGTCCTCATTGTCTGGAACTTAACGTGAAGCAATTAACTTCCAGAACTTGGACAGAAACCACGTTCCATGAGACTGCACTCCCGGGAGCTGCCACCAGGGGCAGCATGTGCACAGGCACAGTTGAACCAGCCTCAAACTCATGCTCCACTTCTGAGCGTGCGGTGGGCTCTCTTGGGGTACAGACACTGGAATCCTGGGTGGGAGACTGAGAAAGACTCTCTAGGACGGCCTTCAGAGGGATTTGTGTTGTCCACACATGCCTGCATTCCTTCACAAACACTCTAGTCTAAGCACCTGTGTGCTGGGGTACTGTGCTTGCCCAGCCTGGGAGAGGCCTGGGCTCTCTCCTGTACTGGAAGATAAATGAGAGAGGAAGTGATGTCATAAGGCCCAAGCCAGCTTGCCCAGCACCGGGGAGCACAAGCTGGTGACCCTGCAGCCCAGATTACCTAAATAACAGAGTAACCGGCGTCTGTTTAGGGGAGGAGCTGGGTGCTGTAACGGGGAAGGGGCTGAGCCACCCGGAGGCCCCAGAACTCAGCTCTGGCCCCACTGCACACCGTCAAGCCCTCCACGTAAAGATGGGCGTCGTCCCCGCTCTGTGTGGCTACTCGGATCATCCCTTGGCTCAAGAGGACCCACAGGTCTGGTCACCAGTGGACGCCGGGCCTGGGTCACTAGAGCAGGTCCTGTTGCAGGCCCAGGCCACGGGCCTTGCACTTTCCGCAGGGTGGAGGTTGGGAAAGCCTGGCACTGGCACGGTTTGTGCACAGCCTGGGCTCCTCCCGAGTCTCTGTGTCACGTTTTGGTAGTTCCGCGAGATTCCAATCTTTGTCATTATTGGTACCTGTGAGGGTGATCTGTGACCAGCGAGGGCTCCATGATAACTCGGGGGCACTGTGAACAGTGTCCCTGTGAGATGGAGCTGTGTTCTGAGTGCCCCCCCACAGGTGGCTCCTCCACCCGCCCTCTCCTGGGCTCCTGGTCCCCTGAGACACAATATGGAAATGAGGCCGATTAGATAAAAGTCTCTGAATGCTCCAGTGGAAGGAAGAGCCTCACCTCTCCCAGTGTGGAGCAAACATCGGGGTGATGAAGCCGCCCGGGCAGGCACCGGCAGCCGGGCGGGGCTGGAGGCTCGGCCCCGTGCCCACCGCCCACACTGTCAAGGGAAAGGCCCTTGAAGCAAGTTGAGTGGGTGACCTCAGGGAGAAAGCAGCCTCTGGCCGGGCAGCATCCCTGGTCTGGATGGAAGACCTGGCCAGCGCACCTCCTCAGCCAAAGCCCGACCGGGAGCAGGGTGCTAGCTCCCTCCGCGTCTACAAAGGCTGAGAGGAGAGCGGCTGCAGAAGAGCCGCAAGCTGGCAGAGGCCCATCCATGAGCTCGAGGACAGAGGGGCTCCGGGACACGAAGGTGCAGGTGAAGCAGCGCCTGGTCCTGGAGAGGCCGCGCAGGGAGCTCCATCGAGATCCCCAGCCTGTCAGCAGTGGGCACGGAGCAGCGGTGTCCGGTGCAGGCAGCGTGGGCTTCTGTGGGACCCGGATGCACTTAGGACACCACAGCGAGAAGTCAGGGCAGGCTGTCCCCAGGGCACTGGTGCTGCTGCGCTTGGAGGTCAGCCGCTGCTCACTGCCCTCTGAGCGTCCAGGGCCCTCGGGAATTCTACTGCATTCCTGTCTGAGCTGTGAGCGCGACACAAAGCCTGAGGAGCAGCGTCTGTGTGCCACCTGTAACTGGAGATCCCACGTCCACTTGATGGTCACACACTCTCATCATGAACTGGAGCCGGCAGGCCTGGGACTGGGAGCAGTTTGACTTTCAAGTCAAACTATTAAGAAATACCTTTCTTATGGCTCCAGGGGCTGCAGAGAGGGAGTCCCCTGGAGGATCTGGGGCAAGTAGATCGCCAACCTTCTGGAAAGGATCCACCAGTCTAGATGCCATTGAGAACACTTGTGCTCCGTGGGAGGAGGTCAGCCTCTCACCAGGAGCAGGAGTCGGGAAGAATTTGGTCCCAGTCCTCACGGATACTCGGATGCTTCTGGGCGTGAGTGGGGGGATAACTGAAGGTGTGGTGGAAATGGCAAGTCACGAAGGAGTGGGGCTGGCAGATGTGACAAGCTGCCAGCGGGACACGAGGCAGGGTGAGCTGCTGCTTAGCCCCAGCCGAGAAGGTGGCTTCTTGAGATGGGTGCACTCCTGCTGAGGGCGCTGGGGAGGAGTCACCAACACGGCAAACTTCACCGCCATCTTATCAAGAAATGGCAGCAGCCCCCCAGGTTTGGGCAGCCACCACCACTCCACAGCAACCAGCAGCTTCGAGACTCTGCATCAAAAAAGAGATCGCTCGCTGCAGACTCTGACGGTCGTTAATAATTTTTAACAATAATGCATTTTAAATTAAGATTTGCATGTTGGTTTTTAGAAATAATGCTATTGTGTAAGGGTCCGGCCAACGTCGGAGGAAGAGACCACCAAGAGACCGCGGCTCATGCAACAGCAAAAGGGGTTTATTGAGAATCCAATCCAGCGCGCTGGGGCTCTGTGCTCACTCAAGAAGGGAGAGCAGCCCAGAGCCCCGAGCAGGGGCTGAGCGCTGCTTAAGTACACTTTTTGGGGAGGGCGGGGACTTTACATACATTACAGTCTCCTTTAACAAATCATCATACACCGCGGGAAAATCAAACAACTCCTAAACATGATTAGTTCATTCATTGGCGGGAACAGGTCCGGCGGGAGTGATAGGTGAGTTCTAAGGGGGGAGGTACATTCAAACTGATTGGTTTAGGCCCTGCGATGTCTACATGCAAGGCTACACAGGGTCCTAGGTTATTAAATAACCAGTCGGTCAGGGGAAATATTTACTGGGCGGTTCCAAGTATTGTCTTAACAGCTACAGGAATTTCAGGTTTTACGTGTAGCATAGGAACTTAACAATACCTGGTCCTTTACATTTTAACTCAGGCCTTGCAGCTTAGAAACTTTACAATGCCCGGTCTTTGACACTTTAACTTCAATTTCTTTTACCCTTACAATTGCACACTTAACGGAATACAGTGTGAACTTCACTTTTATATAAACTGGGAAACCAAAAAAATGCATGCAACTCTCTTTTCTTGGTATTTGCTTTATCACGGTGGTCTGCAGTCGTACCCACAGTGCCTCTGAGGTGTGCTTGCAGATCCACGTGATGGTACGTGGAGTACTATACGGCAGTGGAAACCCCACAGCCACAACTGTCAGCGTGCAGGAACTGCAGGGGCTGGATGAAGCCAGTACGTCTCGGGAGACACACCCAGGGTGGCGTGCCACTCACAGAAAGCTCAGACCCAGGCATCGTCTGTAGGGATGTACCCAGGTATAAAGGGAGCGAGAGAATTACTGACACAAGCTTCAGTGCTGGCTGTCTTGGATGGCAGGAGATCCAGTGGGTGAAGCTTGCTGTCTTATGGTGGCCAACTTGAACTTGCATTTATCTTGCTATGCATCATAATACAAAATAAAATAAATGAGACCAAGCCCTGCCCTTGGTGCCCCAGCCCAGACCTGGCTGCCTCTGTTTCTTGCCACGAGGGCTCGTGCTACGGTCTTCTGGAGCTTTGTGGGGAGGAGACTGCTCATCCCGGCTCAGGTAGCCCCAACCTCACACTGAATTGGAGGCACAGGGCTGGCAGCTGTGGGGACAGGGGTGCTGGGTCCAGAGCACAGTGGCCTAAAGAGGACACCCCCCTGTGGTGCTCAGTCCCTTGAGGGACTGTTGGCCCAGGTGCCCCCTGGGCCCCACAGCTCCCAACACTCCCAGCTGTCGGAGATCCCTCCTGGGTGACGCCCTGGGATCGGGATCAGCCCACACCCCTGCCCCGCAGCCCAGGAGAGCCCCGCCTTTGAATCCTAGACACAGGGCTGTCCGTTTTCCCAAGACTGAGGGGTTTTCCCCGACGTAGTTGAACATTAAAACTGGGAGGAACCAGGCAAACCTGAGCCAACTGGCCACTCCCCCGGGTGGCTGGTCCCCGGTGGGAGGGTTGGCTGGCCACGGCTGGCTTGTGCTGTCGGGTGCACCAGCCGGGACCTTGCTGCCCTTCCTGAAGGCCTCACTTTCCTGGAAAGGAGCAGGCGATGCCAAGTTTTGTCCTCCAGCTGCTGGACAGTCCTCCTGCCCCTCCTGGGGACAGCAGGGTTCGCCTGAGCAGCCCTGGCTGGGCGCTGATCTCGCCGAGGGCAGATCCAACTGGCAAAATAAGACCGGAAGGCCCCAAGGCTGGCAGCCAGACCAGAGAAATCAGCCATCACTCCATTACCGTCAAGGGTGGCCTCTGTCCTGGGACATCGTCACATGGATCTTGGCACAATTCCCTTAGGAAGAGCCAACAGTAGCCACAGCTGTTTCCCAGGAGGACTGACTTGCCCGTGGGCATCAGGGGTGTGTGGGCTCTGGGGGGCACGGGCAGCTCTCTGACGCCAGAGCGATCCAAGAACCGCCAGGTAAAGGTGTCAGAGCACAAAATCTCAGCCATCTGAAGGTCTCCAGGGCTTTGTCGCTCAGTTTCACAATCAGGCAGCACCGCCTCCATCAGACAGTGTTCTGTTGGGCTGAGAGGAGGTTGGTTTCACAGCCAGCGCTGAGAAAGGCAGAAACGAGCACAGAGCCAACTGTGTGCTTTAGTCACCAGCCCTGCAGGGACAGGAAGACTGAGCCAAACGACCCAGGACTGGAGAACATCAGGTGGCTTTTTGTAAAGATTGAAAGATTAAAGCGTGCAAGGATTAAAGCAGAGGGAACCTCATCGTGTCAGCTGCAAATGGCCATTTAGGACCCTTGGCTGTGACCTCTCCTGATTTCTAGGAAGGTTCGGTGACATCTTGGTTTCAGCTTGGAGAGAGACACTTCAGCGGAAGTGACTCACTTGGCCTTCAGCCTGGCCTGTGGAACCCAAATCACAGCCAAGGCCCAAATCTCTTATCACTTAACATGCACATTTGTGTAACTGACTTGTGCTTTGTTATAAAAGGGTGTCAAGACTGTCAAAGGTCTGCCCAGGCAGCAGGCGGGTATGGTACTTCTTTCCCGGTAAGCACCACAGTGAGGCACGTTCCTTTCCAACAAATGGACTAGGTGAGGTTCAGGACTGAGAACCAAGAGGTGAAAGAGGTCCAAAGACAGAAATGGTCACACATCTATCCACCACCTATCTAACCGTTGATCCTTCCATCTCTCAATCCATTCATTATCCATCCACCTGTCCATCTACCCATCCACCTGTCCATCTACCCATCCACTCACCCATCTACCCTGGCTCCTCCTCTTACAAATCAAGTCAGCCTGCTGACGTCTCCAATTTTAAGCCCCTTCAATACCCTCACCCTCTCCCTTTGGGAAATCTGAATTAACCAGAAGAGACAGGGAAGGGACAGGAGACAGAGCCAAACAACCCAGGGATGATCCTTGGTGTGGTAATCCTGATCACCCTGCGGGGATATACAGCAGGGCACAGCTTACAAAGCCCAGGGCTTCTTTGCAGCCTCAGGACTCCACCAGGCCCTGGACCCCCGGGCACAGCAGTCCCAGTGGGAAGAGCGCCTGGTCCAGCAGCCGTGGTTGGAAGGTGGGCTGGAGGCGCCTGGTGGTGCGGGACATGACGGCGCCAGGAGGTGACCCCGACACGCTGGTGTGTCTGGCTTCTGTCTTCCTGTTGGTTTTGAAGAAATTATTTTGGGCAAGAGTGGATGGAAACAGTACTGGATCTTTCTTGGTGGTTTCCTTGGTGAGGAAACCATTTCAGGGACTTGGAAGATCTGGGTGTGACCGACTGGATGCCTGGATCATCCCACCTGGCCGTTGCAGCTCTTCCCTGACCCCAGTGGTTCTCAGCCACAGCTGTTTTGTGCCCCTGCTCCCACACAAATGCAGAGCTGTGTCCTCGGGAGGCAGCGCTCCTGGCAGGGGGGGTGGGGAGGGGCCGGCCCTGGAGACAACCCTCAGGGCACAGAGGCAGGCCCAGGCAGTCACACTGAGGGAGCAGCCCTACGCTGCCACCCAGAGCAACCCGCCCACTGACTCCCTCTGGCCAGGGAGTGTCCAGCTCACTTCACATTCCTGAGAATGCAGTTCTGTGAGAGGGAGCACAGCACACGGCGGGAATGTGACCTAGGAGCTGATATCCATCTGCCACCACCCGAATGTCCCCGTCATCCCCATGCTGAGCCATGATCCCACTGTGGTGATATCTACAGTGGTCCTGTGGATGATGCCTGAGAGGCTGGAGACCACCATCTTGCCCTGTTGTGCTCCTCCCCTCGTCCACCACGAGAGGACACAGAGTTGTCCCCTTTTGGCCTTTTGGTCCCTTGTGCCATGTGAGGACTTCTAGATGGCAGGTCTATGAGGAAGGGGACTTCTCCAGACATGAGCCTGCTCCGGTCTGCACCTCTGATCCCAGCCTCCTCCTGCACCTGTGGGAGAGGACGCAGGAGAGGTGGGGAGGGGGCTTCCGGGGGAGCGGCAGGTGGAGCCCAGCTGGTCTGGACAGGCTCCGGCAGGGCTGCTCCAGCCGGGTTAGGAAATCCCGCAGCCCTCAGGAGCGCTGCTGGAGATCTGCCCAAGGGCACTGTGGGCAGGGCCCTCTCCACCGTGCAAGGCCTGGGAAACAGGCTACGGAGGGACGCTGTCCCACGCTGACTTACCCACGGATGCCTTGGGCTTTCCGTTCCCTGTAGAACAGTGGAGGAGCCACATGGTGCCAGGTTGGCTCACCAGGCTCAGCAGCTCTTCACCCAAACCCTGGCTGGCCCCAGGGGCAGCTCTGGGCATTAGTGCCAGGTGGAGGGGCAGCCCCCTCAGCTCACTGGGGATAGTTGTTTAGAAACTTATCGGGCGCGCAATAGCTTGTTGGGGATACTTTGTTTCCAAATCACAATTTGTTAAGTCACAGTAGCAATCCTTACCGTTTCCCTCAGCTGCCGTCTGAGTGCCACACTGGTTGGGACATTGTTCACATTTTATAGATGTTAAAACTCAGACCTGTCAGTGCTGAGTAACCTCCTGGGGACCTTGCCCCTCTCTGCCCGGCGGAGGACCTGTGCCCTTTGCTGCTGCCTGCACCCCATCTCAGTCTAGCACGTTTTTTTTTAATTAAATACATTCTGTAGCTACCAGAGGATACGAGCTCATCTCTGGGCTCAGCAATCCCACATTGCAGAAATACGGGTCAATCTTGAGTCATCTTGTTACCGCTGTTGACCGGTGACGAGTCCTTGCTTCCCCAATGTTGAAGAATAACACCAAAGAAGCACGCCGAGGCAAGGTCAGAGTAGAAATTAGAAGTTTATTAAAGGACAGCAGAAAAGACTTCTCCCGGAGGAAGAAGGGGACCCAAGAGGTGGAATCCGTGGAAGGGATGTTGTCTCCCCTTTTTATAGTTTCTTTCAGTGATGGAATGTAGGTGGGAAGGCCCGAGGGGTGGGACACAGGTGGGCCAAAGAAGTAATCTGGTCAGGAAGGACTTCTGAGTCAGCACCTTTTTGCTGGGGGCTGTCCATTAACACTTCTTTGGGATGGACTTTGGCCTAGGGCCTTTTCGGGACTTCATTAACATTCCATGAGCTGTCCTGCATTTTCCCTGAGTCATTCTCCGCATGGCCTCCATTTTAGATTTCACTCGATACTAGACCCGATTTACCTAACTACACTGACTACCTAATTTTAAATCTGGCTTCAATCTCTAGTGACCGCCAACACCAATCTGCAAACCCCGAGGCGCTGATAGCAGCTCAGAGATGTGGCCACTGAGCCCGGGCTGCCGGCTCTGGCCCCCCACGCTGCCTCCACGGTGCCCGCCTCACCGGGGGAGCTTCTGTTACCCACAAACCCCCGAACCACAGCCAGTGTGTGATGGAGGGATCCTTAAGACAAAGTACATTGGAAGAGAAGGAACGTGTGTGCGAGAGCGGCTCTGTCAGGACCGCTGCAGGACCGCCAGCCCAAGTTCAGAGGAGGTGGCCTTCGCGGGAGAAAAGGACCAGGCGTTTCCTTTTGATTATTCAAATGATTATTCACATAATGGTGAGTGACAGTGAAGGCCTAAGGCAGCACGTGGAGATTGAGTGACATTAATTAATCCAGATGAACAGGATTAGGGCCCACCCCCATCCACCACGACCTCATTTTAACCTGATGACATCGGCAGGGACCCTATTGAAGCCAGATTTAAAGTTAGGTAGTCAGTGTAGTTAGGTAAATTGGGTCTAATATCGAGTGAAATCTAAAATGGAGACCATGCGGAGAATGACTCAGGGAAAACACAGGACAACTCATGGAAGTCCCGAAAAGGCCCTAGGCCAAAGTCCACCTCAAAGAAATGTTAATGAACAGCCCCCAGCAAAAAGGTGCTGACTCAGAAGTCCTTCTTGACCAGATTACTTCTTTGGCCCACCTGTGTCCCACCCCTCGGGCCTTCCAACCTACATTCCATCACCAAAACTATAAAAAGGGGAAACAACCGCACTTCCACGGATTCCACCTCTTGGGTCCCCTTCTTCCTCTGGGAGAAGTCTTTTCTGCTGTCCTTTAATAAACTTCTAATTTCTACTCTGACCTTGCCTCGGCGTGCTTCTTTGGTGTTATTCTTCAACATTGGGGAAGCAAGGACTCGTCACCGGTCAACAGCGGTAACACTATTTCTGAATGAGCTCACTGTGTTGGTCAGCTCTTCATTGCTGTGACCAAGACACCCCGAGAGGAGCAACTTAGAGGGGGAAAGCTTATTTGGGGCTCACAGTTTCAGAGGTTCAGTCCATGGACAGCTGACACCATGGCTCTGGGCCTGAGGGGAGGCAGAGCGTCATGGCGGAAGGTCGTGGCGGAAGGGCATGGTGGAATGGAGCGGCTCAGGACATGGCCGCTGGGAAGCAGAGCAAGTAAGGCACCTGGGACAAGAGCCGGTAAAAATTAATCAAAAAACAAATTATTAATTCACAAGTGGGATTATTCCACTGATTAGATTATGGCGTTCATAATCCGATCGTTCTCCTCTGATGGTTGCTGCATTGTCTCCTGGTCTTTGGGGAACTGAGGACTCGCCTTCGCAGACCAGGGCAAGGGTCTCCACGGTCTTTCTGGGGGACACTCTCACCGCAACACCCCATACTGGTCCAGCCCCCAGCAGGGTTTCCGTCCCAGGCAGCTCCTCCTGACAAGCTGGGTGGAGGGGTAGGTGCCAACACCCGTGGATGGGCCACTCGATGTGACCACAGATGGTCCTACGGAAAGAAGGGAAAAGGTGGCCCGCCAGGCTGAGGCACATCCTCAGGAAGTGGGGAGACCGCAGCAGGTGGGATGGTAGGAAGGCGACGGTTTTGCTGATCTCCGCAGAGGTGCTGGTGAGAGGAGGAGGCTTGAGCAGACCCACCCAGGGTGCAGCCAGCGTGCCCTGCGCTCATCCTCTGCCTGGCCCGAGGCCACTCCAGGTGGTACGGCAGACCTGGCACCGTGAAGCTGCCAGCCAGGGCTCCGTCTGGTGGCTACGGGTCCAGCTGCTTTAGTACTGTGGTCGAAGATGTGTGCCAGAGCACACGGGCCAGGAGAGGGTGGCGATGGGGAGGGCTTGTATGGTCAACGGAGGTCAACGGCTGACAGTCACCCCAGCGCAGCCCACGAGGTCACCGGCCACCACTCTCCATCCCAGCAGCTGCTTCAGACAGAAGCTGTGACCTAGAGGAACCTGGCGTCCAGGGGCCCCACCTCTCCCCCCCTTCCCCTGTCCACCTCCAGTCCTCTCTGGCACTCACTGCGTGCCCAGCACAGTACCTGAAGGGGTGACTCAGTCTTTCCTTCCGTTTGTTGGTCAGTCCTGGGGTCAGTGGTTCCCCTTCTGAGAGCTGACCTTGTCTTCAGTTTTCTGTTCCCGTAGATCCTTACTTCTGTGTTGATGCTGAGCGTCCAGGTCTACAGGCTCAGTACGGTCGGATGCGCCACCCTGGGCTGGCAGCTCTGCCTGGCTCTACAGCCGTGGGCGAGCTCAGGGACCCAGCCCACCTGAGTCAGGTCCCCTGCTCTGAGCTGGCTTTTGTCCCACTCGAGAGAGGTGAGCATGGTCAGCCTGGGGAGGGCAGTGCAGTTACAGCCCCATTTCCTCCTCCTGCTCACGAGGTGGAAGGAAAAGGAAGCCAGCCTGAGATGGTTTCAGACAACCAAAGGGGAGAGCCACCCTGTCCGGGAGCTGGTGCCCTGGACGCCAGCGCTAGGTACCAAACCGAGAGGACGGCAGCAGACCAGCCCCAGAACCATTTTATTTCCAGACCCGACTGCACCAGGCTTGGTGGAAGTGTGTGCTCGAGGGTTCCTGCCCCAGGTCTGCTGCCCAGTGGTTCCCTGGGGCAGGCCCTGCACATTGAGATGATCCTTCCTAGTCATCCAGCAGCCTCCGCTTCCGTGGGTTGCATATGTGGATTCAATAAAACTTGGAATAGCAAATATATTTTTTAATTGTATCTGTTTTGAACATGTTCAGATTTTTTCTGGTCAGTTCCCTAAATCATATAGTAGAAGGACCATCCAACCGTACAGCGTTGCACTGGGCTTTGTAAGTAATCCAGAGTTGACTTAATGCAGAGGGAGGCTGTGGGCACGTCCTACGCAGACACTGTGCCATGTTACACCAGGGACCTGTGCACTGCGGGCTTTGGTATCTGTGGGCATCCTGGAACCAGGCCACCTGGACCCCAGGGAAGACTGAAACTGTGGCAGCACTTGCTATGCGGGGCCCTCCTGGCTGAGGAACAGGGCAGGGAAGTCACATAAGCCTCCCCTGCTGCAAACCCCCCCAAATCTCAGGCCTCACTGCAGCAGGCCCAGGCCCTCCCTCCCCTGGGACCCCCCCGCAGGTTCCTGCTGTGCAGGGGGCCGGCGTGTGCAGATAGATGATGAGATCTCAGGGGGAGCGTGCCTAGACATGGCCGTGGCAAGGGATCAAGGCTTCTGAAAGCAATTTGGCAGATGTCCAGGGACCCTTTAAAAACTCTTGGTCTTCCAACTAGTCATTCCGAGGAGGTGCATGTTGAGGGGACGGTCCATCACGCAGATGGAGCCTGGCGGGCAAGGACATTCACAAGGTACTTAAAATGACCAGAACATTTGGACCAGGGGCTGGGGTGCAGTGGTTAGCACTTGACTGGCATGCACGAGGCCCTGGGCTCCTTCCCAGCACCGTAAAACATAAAATAAAACTGGGCCCAAACACCCCACTGTGGATCACGGCCAGACACAGTGGACAGACGAGGCAGGGCACTGGGCAGCAGACCCAGTTGTGGGATGGCACTGCATGTGCGGGGCGGGGGGGGGATCCTAGGAGTGTCACCTGACAACATCATCAGAGCTTAGAGCATGTAAGGTCTCACAGTGACCGACCACTTCATGACGTGTGACATGTTCCCAGGATATACCTTCCTGTCAAATGACATGTGGCTGGACTTAAAATGTTTCCATAGCACACTTAACAGCATCGGGATGTCAGAGGGTTTAATGACAACATGATGTGAAAGTCCACATGTATCCTATGATGCCCGTGTGGCCATCCCTCTGTATCCACAGAGGGTTGGTTCCAGGCCCTTCAGATGCCCAAGTCCAGCAATGCTCAAGGCCCTTCAGAACAGGACGTGACCTCAGCAGGGAACCTGCCCCACCCTGCTGTATGCGCCGTCCTTAGACGACTTGGAGCACTGAATGCATCTAAATACCCGGTGAATGGTTGTTGTTCTGTATTACTTAAGAAAAATTACGAAAAAGTCTGCACATGCTCAGAGCAGGTGCAAAGTTTTCCAGTTATTTTCAACACGGTGTTGGTTGAACCTGGGAGGTGGGGGTGGGCTGGAGCCACAGGCCAAGGCCAACTGGATGCCCTGGTGTCCCCAGAATCGGACTGCGGGCAGCTGCCCACAGAGGTGCTAGGTGACCATTCGCCGTCACACGTGGGAACTGGAAGGTGACAGAGCGGTTGTTGATTAGCCGGGACCGGGCAGGGCTCTCTTCCCTCACGGTTCAGTCTTCTACCATAAGCACGTAAACCTTCCAAAAAGAACCAAAGTCTCTTTTAAGTGAAAAGAACATTTGTCATGGTCAGGACTTAACGAAAGTGCAACATCCCAGAGAGGACCTGGGCTCGCTCACTCCTGAGGGCAATCGATTCTTTAAAACTTCATCCAGGGCCGGGCTGGGGCCCCGTGGCAGGGCGCTCACCTCACCCATGGGAGGCACTGGGTTCAATCCTCAGCACCACATAAAAATGAATAAAGATATTGTGTCCATCTTAAAAAAAAAAACTTTAAAAAACCCCAAACTTCCTCCATAAAAATAGATTGAACATGGACTTTCCACAATGTCACTGGGCCAGTGGGGGCGAGTCTGTGGGGGTGACTCCCTCCTCCACCTCTTCTCGCGGAGTCCACACTTGTGAACATCCAGGGAAAGTTCTCTAGACGCAAAGCAGAGCCTCCTGGGGGTGCAGGCCACAGGGCACTGCCTCTTGCTGGGCTCCTTGAGCCCTGGTTGCTCAGAGCTGCATCCCACCTGGCACAGCACCTGCCCCAAGGACAGCGCCTTGCACATGGTGTCACTAACGTGTGGTCTCCCCTGCAGGCACAGCCAGGTCCCACACCGCCCAGAGAGCCAAGTGCCAGTTATCTGTGACTACGGCTCAGGCTTCAGCAAGCTGGGCTTCGCAGGATGCGAGGCTCCCTACGCCGTCTTCCCAACCGTCCCGGGCAAACTCCGGCATGACGTGAGTGGCAAGGGCAAAGGGCATCCCCCCTGGGGTTACATAACCCATAGGCGCTGCTGGCCCATGCAGCCATCCCCTCTCCCACCGGCTGGCCAAAGAAGTCCTCGGGGCAGGTGGGCATGTGTCGGAATCCTGGGCTCTTGGCTGGTAACGCGAGGCTGGCTGGGCCCCCCGAGTTTCTGCTCTTCCTCATGCCCATGCTCTGGTTGTGCTCTGTAACGGACTACCTGGGGCTGGTCGTTTATGTTAAAAAAACAAACATTTCTTCCAGTCCTGGAGACTGCGAAGTCCATGGCTGGGGGCCCTCATCTGGTGAGGGAATTCTTTTTTTTTTGTACCAGGGATTGAACTCTGGGGCACTCGACCACTGAGTCACATCCCCAGTCTCCCCACCCGCCTTTTCTTGGTATTTTATTTAGAGACAGAGACTGAGTTGCTTAGCACCTTGATAAGTTGCTGAGGTTGGATTTGAACTTGCGATCCTCCTGCCTCAGCCTCCCAAGCCACTGGGATTACACCTGGCTGGAGGGGGCCTTCTTGCTGACCACCCCATGGTGGAAGGTGGAAGAGGCAGGGGCATGAGAGGGGGAGGGAGAGGGAGAGGAAGGGAGGAAGGTAGAGGGCTCTGTCCCGTTTCTTCCAGGACATTAGCCCCGGGGTCACCTCACTCCCAACACTGCTGCATGGGCTCAGGTTTCCAACACAGGAGCCCTGGGGGCACTTGCAGGCCCAGCAGTGGGCACAGAGGGCCACTGTGGGGAGGCCCGGGCTGCCCACCCACTGACCCTGGCTTTTCCCACTTTGGGGACTGGTGGGGTGCCAAGGAGCAGCCCACTTAGACAGGAGCCCCGGAGTGCTGATGGGAACTGACACTCAGCCTCCGCACAGGCAGCAACGGGCATCTGCCTCCCCAAGGGCACGTGTCAATGCCAGAAAGTGACCCGCGTTGCCATGGCTCCCCGTAGTTCAGCAGATTTCAGATTTTATTATCGTGTTGACACACATGTCACGTCTCCCATCTTGACCGTGGTTAGGTGCACAGCTCAGGGCTCGGGGCCCACACGCCTGCCGGGCAGCCATCATTACCTCCAGGGCTTCCTCTCCTCCCAGGCTGGAGCTGCATCCACCAAGGCTCACCCCCCTCCCCACTGCCCCCTGAGACCCTCACCATCCTTACATGGTGGAGCCACGGTGCCTGTCCCTTGGCGACTGGCTTAGCTCACTGAGCAGGTGCGTCAGGGCCCGTTCACAGGGCGCCGGTGGCAGGACTTGACTCCCATGCTGAGCACCTTCCCACCCTGGGCCTCGTGCGCTCAGCCGCTCCCCCTCCCCTGCCTGGGCACTGCTTCTGCATCTCGGCTGCGGGGAAAGATGCCGCGCGCGGAGGCCTCTTACGACCGGCCTTCGATTCCCTGGGGTCTCCATCCAGAGACATGCTGGGCCACGTGTTTTTCTTTGTCTAAGAAATTCAGATTTTCGTGTCCTTTCTAAGCACTAACTCACTTTTCCACAAGGCCTGGGCACACTGACGCGGGTCTGTGGGCTGGGTGCCAGCTTCTGCTCTGAGCCTCGCCTTGGGCACAGTGGGCTCTGGCACCCCACCAGTCGGACCCTTTACCCTGCGCAGGATGTCCCTGGCCCATGCCGCCCGGCACAGCCCCGAGGGCCTCCACGTTCCCCCAGTGACCGTGACTTGATGAGTTAAAGGGAGGGACTGTGAGGCCGCTGGGCAGAGAGCAGCCCCAGCCCCAGGAAGTGACTCCACATGTCCGTGCAGTGGGTGAGGCGGATGGGGGTCCTGTGGACTATCCTGAAGGTGGCAGCTCCTCCTTGTCCTGCACGGTGGAGACTTCATGTCCCTGGACCATGAAGACACACCCTGGCCCCAGCTGGCTAGGCAGTTGTCCCCAAGACCCCAGCGGAGGCCTGAAGCCCTGGAGAGAGCGGAGCCCAGCGTGGGCTGCCCTACACACCCCTCTTCTCAGCACAGGACTGACAGGAGGGGGCAAGGTAGGAGGGGGCACTGAGGCCTGCAGCCGCCATTCTGTGGGTGTGGTCTCTCCAGGGTCCAGACACATGTCCGGACTGTGGACGCAGGTGACTAGAAAGTGCTGCCCAGAAAAGGGGTGGGCGGGCCACCGAGACAGCACCACAGGGTGGTGTTGGTGCAGAGCCCAGGGTCACCGCACAGGGACCCGAGTGGTGTTGGTGCAGAGCCCAGGGTCACAGTGAGAGCTAGAACTTCCACAAACAGTCAGTGACAGAGCAGTGGGCCGTGGCGCCTTGTGGGCTGCGCTCGCCTGAGCTGAGTTCCGTCTTCCAGGAGCCCCGTTGCCGGCCAGCCTGCCCCTTGGCCTGCCCTGCGCCTGGGTGCAGGAGCGGCTCTGGCTGCAGAAGAGGCTGCGTCCCCTGCAGGCCTCAGCGCCCGGCCCCTCCCCACACTTAGGCGCTGCCGGTCCTTGGCTTCTCCAGGTGCGGAGGTGGAGGCTGGGGTGACACTGGACTCTACCCAGAGCTCCCGCTGGCCGCAGCCAAGAGGGCAGCCTGTGGAGAGACTGGTCGGGCTCGAGTGGCAGGATGAGGGCTTCGCTCGGTCGATTCCAGACAGCGCAGCCCTGACCCGCAGGCTGCCCAGCCTCGGGACCTAGGCCAAGCCTGTCCATCTGGCTGCGGAACTCCAGAGCAGGACGAGGCTCTGTCCGCACCTTCAGAGCCACACACATGTAGACGGGGGTCCGCTGAACGGTGCCAGAGGAGGCGGCAGCACCGTCACCCTCGGTGTCTGTGGGTCCTTTCAGTCTGAAACGCACCCTGGTGGCTGGCCTCATGGGACTGGCTGCCCCAGCTGCGCTGTGGCGCGGTACAAGGAGCAGAGGTCGGCCATGTCCCCCTTGACAGCAGTGAGGGCTGGGAGGTGAGCAGGGTGTCGGGGGTCTCAGCTAGGGGTCCCGACCCGGGTCCAGATCCTGCCGTGGGAAAGACATGATGGCGCAGGACATAAAGGTCCGTGCAGTGGGCTGAGGTGGCCTTGAGCTCAGGCCTTGCTTCGAAGTCCCTGCTCCGTTGTGACAGGCACCACTCCACACCCAGCCTGCAGCACTCGCTGGCCTTGCCGGCCACCTCTGCACGCTGGTCCCCGGGGCCACGCCTCCTACAGGCTGCTCCTGGCAAAGACCCTGGACTCCTGGGGAGCACATTGGCTCAAGAGCGTCCCCGGCTGGCCCAGCCGTCCAGGACACCCTCTTGCCCTGCAGCCCTCTGTGTCAGGGGCTCAGCCACCGGGGTGGGCTGCGTGGCTCTGCAGCCAGCCCCTGGCCCCGCCCATTGCCACCCACACAGGCACATGCCCTGCTACAAGCCCCCCGGCCCCTCCCCATCCGAGTGACAGAGTGGGAGTCAAATCTGCTTTGAAGGTAGATGTTCGCCTTCCTAGAAATGAGGAAAACCACATGGTCACCTTCCAAAGCCAGCACACAGGACGTGTCCCTCTCTCCCCCAAGAGCCCCTCTCTACCCTGGTCTGGGTCTCCTCTTCTCAAGGTGAGACCGTGTCCTGGCAACGATCCCCAGGGCACTTTGTCTCGCAGACAACTGGCCCGAACCTCTCGGTGTCGGTGGGGTTGGAGAGGGATGCCCACGCTGTGACTCGAGCCACTTTTAACAGCCCCTGCGCTGCTCAGCATGGGCCGAAATGAAAGCCAAGGGCAGGGACCCCACCCCTCCTGAGGCTGGATCTAGCTCGCTGTGAGTTTTTTGGGGGGTGGGGTACCGGGAATTGAACTCAGGGGCACTCAACCACTGAGCCACATCCCCAGCCCTTATCTGTATGTTCTTTAGACAGGGTCTCACTGAGTTGCTTAGCACCTCACTGTTGCTGAGGCTGGCCTTAAACTCGATCCTCCTGCCTCAGCCTCCCGAGCTGCTGGGATTACAGGGTACACCCCGGCACCTGTCTACCTTGCTGTGTTTTTCAGACCATGTTGGTGGGAATGGAGGAAGAAGACTGGTTTATCGGAGATGAGGTCCAGAACAAGCGAGGGATCCTCAACTTGCAATACCCCATCTCCCAGGGAGCCATCACCAACTGGGACAATATGGAGAAGGTGGGCTGCAGGTCCAGGTGGGGGCCCTTGTCACCTACCCTGCTGGGCATGAGGAAGGCTCTGTCACGTCTCGGCTCTCAGTCCCTCTGGACATTGTGTCATGGTCCCAACCACTAGGCCCCAGAGTCGGGAGACCCAAGTTTGAGTCCTGTCTCCTCTGCTCATGGTCAATGTCACTCTGGACATGTGGCATGGCCTCTCTGGCCCTCTACAGTGTTGGGTATCATTGCTCCTACCACAACACTGCCGTGAGGCTTCAGGGGTGACGGGGGAGGAGCCCTCGGTCTGAGAGGGTCAGAAGTCATGATCACTGTGAAGTTGAGTCCCGCTCTTCGTATCTGAGGTTCTGGCCTGGGCCTGCATGTGGGTTTGGGCAGGTTGCAACTGCCTTGCAAGGTGTCCTGTTGTGGCACGAGTGTCCCAGGGCTGCTGTAACAGCTATTACTGTGGCTTAAACCACAATTCTGAAGGCCGGAAGTCCAGGTCATGCTCGCAGAGCTGTCCAGGCCCCTCCCGGGGCTGGTGGTGTGCCGTCCATCCACGGCTCCTTGGCCTATAGCGACATCACTGAGCTCTGTCTTCACCGGCCCATGGCCTTCTCCCCGTGTGTGTCTCTGTCCAGACTGCCCCTGTCTAAGGGCCGCTGGCACTTTGTCTCCACCCGTGATGTCCACAGCAGCTCTGTTCCACGCAGCGGGCTCTGAAAGGCTGGGACTTCAGCATGTGAGCTCAGGGGACATGATTCAACCCAGAATGGTCACCTAACACCTGGCTCGGCCCAAGCCTGAGGCGTCCAGCACAGTGGCAGTGCCCGCCTCTCACCTTTGCCTGGGCCTGGGATTCGGGCCTGGCTCAGGGTCTTGGGAGGCTGCAGCAGATGTGGCTGGGAACCCGTCATCGGACAGCTTGGCCGGGCGGGAGGTCCCTGGCAAGGGGTGCTCTCCTGAGGCTGGCGGGGGCTCCTCCTCGTGGGCGTCTGCCTGAGGCTGCCCACGTGCTCAGAACAGGTGCCTGGCCTCCTCCAGAGGCCAGCGGAGGCACAAGGCCCCAGTGGCCCTTGGAGGTCACACTGTCATTTCTTCCTAGTCTGTTGGTCCCACACACTCTCCTGAGTCCAGGCAGGAAAGGCCACCTAGGCCTGGTTCCAGGAGGTGGATCCACTGTACCCAGCCCTGGCCCTGGCCAGTGGCGCCACATGACACCTGCCTGTGACCTCATGGGTGCCTCCGAGTCCTGGTTTCTGCACACACCCCACCCACACAGCTCGTCCCTCACTCTCCACACAGCACCCAGTGGGCGCTCCCTCAGCCAGGGCAGACAGGAACTTCACCCACAAAAATTAATAGCGTCTGTTGAGCACCTGCTGTATGCCAGGTACCCAGGTACCTCGCTGGGTATCATGGCCAGGTTGTGCACTCCAAAGTCCCTCAGGATGTGACTGGGTTTGGGTGGCCTTCGAGGTGGAGATTAAGTTAAAATGAGGTCATTGGGGGAGGTCTCGATTCACGGTCCTGTGAGAAGAGGAGAGAAAAGAGACACACAGAGGACACCGGGAAGCCACCAGCCGAGGCCTCAGGAGGAGCCAGCTTGTGACACTGGGACCCCAGACGCAGCCCCCAGGACGTGGGACCCTGGCTGCCTGAAGGCCCGGCTGTGGCGCTCTGCAGGGCTGCCTGGGGAGGGGCACACCAGTTCCTTAACGTGGGTGTGGGTCCTCACGGCCTGCTCAGAGGGCAGGACCATCTCCATTCTAAAGATGAGGTCAGGTTCACTGGCACCTTGCTGTGCCGATGCCCCATCCATACCGGGGCCGCGGCCGGGGCTCTCGCTGTACACACCCAGCCCATTGGTGTCTGGGGCTCGCCCCGCAGTGTTGGTGCAGCTGCTCTGGAAAGCACCCGCCGCCCCGGCTCTGCCCCAGTCCCCAGCTCCGGGCTGGTTGTTGAGTGCCTGGTCCAAAGTCACCCTCGTCTTCCCGCTGCCTCCGCAGGTCAGGGCCCCCCTGAGTCAGAGGCCTCCTGTGACCCCCAAACCGCAGCAGCCCATCGGCGTCCGTGGGTGGGTCCAGGATCCAGGCCCCCTCCTCGACCCGGATGCAGGGTTGCAGCAGTGCAGGGCGACCTGCGCATCGTCCCCACACTCTGACCACGCCAGGGGCTCCCAGGGCCGAAGACGGTGCCGACGACTGGGAGCCCTCCTCTACTCCGTAGTTTGGGAATAACTACCAGAAAAAGTCCACATGTTCAGGGCAGATGCAGGTATTTTTGGAGTGTTTTCCATCCTTGGTTGGCTGAGTCTTTGGATGAGGAATCCACAGATGTGCAGGCTGACTGCATTGCTTTGTGAGCTAGAGAGAAGGGGGGTGGGAGACTGTTAGATAGACGGCAGGTGATCGATAGGTGGTAGGTGATAGGTGGTAGGTGATGAGAGACAGGTGTAGGTGATTGGTAGGTGATGGGTGATTGATAGGTGGTAGGTGATAAGTGGCAGGTGATTGATAGGTGCTAGGTGATTGCTAGATGACAGATGGTAGAAGATGGACGGACGGACAGCACCCTGCCTGGAGGGGCAGCCGCCTCTGCCTTGAGCAGCACAGCTCACCTGCCGCTCTCCCCCCAGATCTGGCATCACTGTTTCTACCACGTGCTCAGCATCGCCCCCGAGGAGCACCCTCTCATGGTGACAGAACCTCCCTTAAGCAAAACATCCACCAAAGAGAAAGTGACCCAGGTAACAGGGCCAGCGGGGCGGGGGGTCAGCCTCCGGCCTCCTCCTGAGCTGGGGCAGCCTCAGGGCCTCGTCCTCTCTGGGTGCATCAGGAACAGGCACTGGGCGGAGTTGGCCCCGTTGACGGTGGCAACAGGAGGGGCGGCTACATTGGGGGCTTGCCGAGTGGTCAGGCTCTGGGCCGGGCACACCACAGCAGCGGCTTCACACCCATCCAGCCCGTGGGCAGGCGATTAGAAGCCCCTGTGTCCAGACGGACACGCTGGAGCAGTGGGAGCTCAAGTGATTTGCCTCAGGTCACAAGCCAGTGGCTGGTGGACCCAGAGGGTGTGACCCCAAGCTCCACCCCAACCACTGCTCTGTGGTTCGTCCTCCTTGGAGGTCTGGTTCTGCTTTGAAAGCTGCTGGGCTCTCCTGTGAGGGTACCCCTGTCCTGCCTGTGCAGGGGGGTCAGTGGTGTGTGCTGGTGGGGTCCCTGGGTAGCTGGATGGCGGAGCCGACAAGCCCTGGTGCAGATCACCGCCCTCAGGACTGCACCGGGGCCGGGGGGTGGGGGGGGGGCAGGGCTGCAGGGTGCCCCAGGCTGCCTGAGTCCTCAGCTCATCCCTGGGCTCCTCCTAATGAGGACATCCATGGGCTAATTAAGCAAGCAGCAGGGCTCTTCCATCTGTCCAGCCATCCTGAAGCCCAGCGGTGTCTCTCCATTGGGCAGCGACCTGCAGGACAGGCCCAGGGCCGAGGCGCCACCTGCACAGGCCCAGAAACAGCAGCTGCATCCCTCACAGCCTGGGTGCGAGCTGCCGCCTCATCTATAGTAAGCCCCACGTGGGCCACTGACCCCTCCTCTGCGGGGACATTTAGATCATGGAAGTGGGGCAGTGCTGGCTTTCCGGGACCAGCACAGGACGTACCCGTCTGGAGAATGACCAGTGTCCATGAGGCCCTTGGCACACTGGGGGAGGTCGGAGAGGGGCAGGACCCCCTCGCCCCAGGGAGCAGGCCATCTGCCCAGCTGCAGAAGCTCCAGCAGGAGCAACAGGCTCACCTGGCTGCGGAGGCCAAGATCCCAAGACCAGCCTCGCAAGCTGGAGACCCCGAGGCAGATGGTGTGGCTCCCGCCTGGAGGCCGAGGCTGAGGACGCCGCTGGAGCCTTAAGGCAGGGAAGAGCTGTGTCCCAGCTCCCGGGCAGGCGCGGCGGCCTCTCCTGTCAAGCCTCTGTGCTCTCAGACTTGTGCTCTCGGGGGCCATCTGGGGCACCCTGGGGCACCCCCGTAGGAAGGTCTGACCGCCGTCAGGTTGACACCAAAGTTGGCCACCGCAGCAGCCGAGCAGGTGGCTCCAGCCGCCTCCCCTCGGCCCACCTCTGGTTGTGTTGGAGTCTAGCAGGGAGCCAAAGGCTGCTCACTGGGCCATGCTGAGACAGTTAGGAAGGGACACCAAGACGGGTGTGTGTCTCAGAGAAGGCGCTTCGTCCCTGAGCAGCGTACCCTGTTAGTGACTGGGGGTCATGGCCACCCCTTGCCCTAGAGAGTCCTGTGTACAGAACAAGAGAGGCCCTGCCCAGGAACCCGTGGTCAGAGGGGAGGCTCCTAGGAGGGGCAGGGGCTCCAGCACGCACCCCTCCCCCGTGTCCCCAATCTCTTTCTGGTGCCCCTAAGAGCCGCCCAAGAAAAGACCCCAGACCTCAGCCCGGGGCAGAGGGCGGCGGGAAAGGAGAGGTCTCTGCAGGCCAAGGGGCAGCAGCCACCCTGCAGCCACCCTCCCAGCCGAGCTCCCTCCCTGCCAATGTCCCTCGTCCAGCTGCCACCCGTGTGGCCCCTGCAGGGGCCTGGAATGGGCGGGGACGTGCAGGGCTGGTGCTCCTTCTGCGGTGCCCCTGTGGGATCCGGAAAGCCATGTTCCTGAAGAGAAGCCAGTGGCCGCACAGGGAGCCCGGCCCCGAGTCCCCTGGTCCTGGCCTGGCTCTGCCGCACACCTGACCTCAGGCAGGTCAGTGGTCCTGGCTCTGCCTCAGTGTCCTCATCTGGAGGATAGTAAAGGACCCCTGGGGTCACTGTGAGGACAGAATGAGCTGGTACCTCAAAGCCCTGTAGCTCTCCAGCCTTCGGCAAACCCGGCCCCACGGTTCCCAGGCCTGTTTCCCCCCCTGGGCCACAGGAGTTAGACTGCAGGGGCCCTGAAGACCCCGTAGCTCATGACCCTCAGGCTCCATGACCTTGGGCTCCACGACCTTCAGGCTTGGCGCAGGTGGGCAGGGCGGGGCAGTTTTGGGAGCCAGTGCTCTAGTTTGAGCCCTCCCTGTGAGAATCGCGCCCTCCAGACACACGCTGTGACTCCTTTGGAGGGGTCTGCGGTTGGACTCCTGTGAGAGTGGCCGCGATGAGCCCGCCTGGGCCAGGCCGCGTGAGCACAGGGTTTCCCTCGGGTGGATTCCCTCCTACCTCAATGCTGCTGCTGCCCGTGTGGTTGGAACTGGACCGTCCCCAAAAGCTCATGTGTCCCCAGGGCATCTGTGTTCAGAGTCGGGGGAAGGGACTGGCTGGGGGGGGCTCCGACCTCATCACCTCCTGGCGGTCGTCCCTGGATGGAGTGGACTACTGAAGGGGAGGAACTGTGGGCCTGCGGGGCGAGGGTGGAGAGAGCAGGTCACTGGGCTGTGTCCTTGGGGAATGTATCCTGTCTCTGGCTGCCCAGAGCTGCCAGCTTCCCCCACACGCCCTTCCCCAAGATGTTCCAGAGCAATGGAGTCAGCAGGCCACGGCCTGAACAAAGGGACAGGTTGCGTCAGGTAGTTTGGCGACAGTGATGGAAAACTGCCCGGAAGGCTCCAGGCTCTGCGCTGTCAGCCCCTCACCGTGACCCGCGCGGCAGGCGGCTCTAACGCGTTGCCTTGACCCAGTTTGGAGGCCCCGCCTGAGGCCAGTCAGTCCCCCTTCTGGGTGGGTGGTTAAGTCCACACCCTACCGCTGCCCTCGTTTGGATGTCACGTGCAGAGCCAGTATGTAGCTGCTCTAATTGACCTGGGCCAGCTGCAGGGCACCTGAGGACAGCCTCCATGTGCAGAATGGCTGGGAGAGACCCCGGGACCCAGCGCAGAGGAGCCCGGAGCCCACGTGCAGATCCAGCTCAGAGTCACTGTCCTTGGACACGAGTCCTGCTGTGGCCCTGTCTAGAAGGCTTCTCTTGCTCAGAGTATCGGTGACAGAGGTGCCTTTCATCCACCCCAGTGGCACTGCACAAGGGTCTTCAAAGCCCTCCGAGCACAGCACGGCCTCCCTGCAGGTGAAGCTCACGGCCACCATCTCGGGTGCAGGGCCCAGCAAGCAGCCGCCTGCGCTCAGCCTCGGGGCCACCTGCTCACCTGCCTTCTGTCTTCTGGGGCCAGGGGCCGCCACGTACCTGTGTGGGAAGAGCCAGTTGGTCTCGCCTGGGCACTCCTGCCCTGGCTCCCCGGGGACGCCTGGGCCACGTTTCTGGAACACACCACGTCTGCTCCAGCGAGGCACCCGGGCCCGTGTCCAGTCCCCTCAGAGGAACTGAACCTCCCCACGTCCCAGCTGCAGAAGGGAGGGCGTGTCCAGTGAAGAGAGCTGCTCCAAGGAGCCTCTGGGGCCGCAGGGGCTGTGGGAGTCCTCCCTGCCCTCAGAGGGGCCTGCTGTCACAGGAGGAGCCCTGAGGGCGTTCCGCGGGTGGTGGGGGTGGGGGGCTCGCAGGGCTGGGGAGGGGCGTGCCTTGAGCCCCTCTGCCCCTGTGGGCTGCGCAGCCGTGGAGCCTGCACTCTACCCATGTGGGGCCTGGCTGCCAGCGTGGTTGCTGTCCCCCTAGGTCCTGTTTGAGACCTTCGGCGTCCCCGCCCTCTACATAGGCAACCAAGGTGTCCTGTCTCTGTACTCTTCCGGCCAAACCTCGGGTGAGTGGCCCTGTGGGAGCCCCTCCCCCAGCCCACAGTCCCATCCCAGCACACACTCCTCCCTGGCACCTAAGGGAGGGGACCACACAGTGCGCACCCCCGCCTTCCCACCCTCTGGTTAAGCAGGATGCACCCAGATTTTTAAAATCCGCTGGACTCACCCTTATCTTCAACAGCTTTATTGAGGTGTGATTGACACATAAGCCCGACGTGTTTCAGGGGCGCGCTTTGACAAGTTTGACGTATGGATCACCACGACCCACATAATGAACCTACCTCACCCCAACGGCTCCCTCCTGCCACCCTTCCCGCCTGTCCCCAGCTGACTCCCAGCCTGTCCCCACAGATGGGTTCATACGGAGTGCCGTCCGGTATGAACGGCATCAGAAGGCAAGGGCTCTGCCCTGTGTCCCTTTTCACTCTGAATTATCTGGAAATCCATTCCTTGGTATTGCTGTGGGTCGTTCCCTGGGGTGGGTCACCCTCATTCATTTGCCCATGAATGGGTTTGGGCAGGTTCCTGTTGGAGCTCTTAGAAGAAAGCATCCATGCACATGGTGTGGAGGTCTTTGCATGCATGAACGCTCTCCTTAGCTTGTGGTAAATATCCAGAGGGGGACTGGTTGGGCCACATTGTGGGCGTGTGTTTAACTTCTAAAGACACCCGCAAGCCAGCCACCGAGGCAGCCCCACCACTTAGTCCACAGCTGCTGGAGCTCTGGGCATGGAGTGGGAACGCAGTGGTGTGTCCCAGGGTTTCGATTCACACCCTGACCACGCTGCCACTGGACCACGCTTCCTGGGCGCCTCGCATGTCCCCTGGTGAAGCGCTCCACAGTCTTGGGTTCTCTGCACTCTTAAGTATCCTGGACACAAGCCTCCTGCCAGACGTATATTTTGCACATACCTGACTCTGCCTTCCCTTCATTCTCGTCACAGTGTCTTTTGAAGGTTTCAATTTCCATAAAGTCCAATTTATTATTAGCTCTTGGTTTTGTGGGCCATGACTTTGGTATTGCATCTAAGAAATAGGGGCTGAACTGGGTTTAATGGCACATGCCTGTCATCCTAGTGACTCGGGAGGCTGAGGCAGGAGGACTGCAAGTTAGAGGCCAGACTCAGCAACTTAGCAAGGCCCTGCCTCATTATAAAAATAAAGAGGAAAAGAGGAACCAAACTCAAAGATTTTCTGCTAGAACTCTCAAAGATTTTAGTTCTACGCTAAGTCCTAGGGTCCATTTTGAATAAGGCATAAGGTATGAATGAAGCATGTGTGTGTGTGTGCGCGCACAGAGCTCCTGTTTTTTGGGGTGTCTGTGGAAGACACTGCCCTTTCTCTGCTGACTTACCCGGAGCGCTCTGAAAGCCAGTTTTCCGTGTGCTCGGAGCAGCTCTGGACCCCGTCTTCTCAGCTTTGGGTCCAGCTGTGGGATGCCACCGCATTGTCCTGAGAACAGCTCATTAGGAGTCTCCAAAGGAGGTGACATCAGTGCTACTGCTTCAGTCTCTTGTTTTTGAAAGGTTTTGATCATTTTAGGTCCTCTGCATTTCCATATAAATTTTAAAATTCGTTTGTAATTTTCTAAAACAAACAAAACCCGCCCACCACCCCTTCGGGTTCTGTGGTTTGGTTCTGCTCTTGCGGTGCTGGGGCTGGGGCTAGGCCTGTGCTTGCTGGGTGAGCGCTGGCCCTGAGCTCGCCCACCCCGGGGTCTGAGACTGGATCGGAGCCAGCTGCATAGTTAGCTCCAGGGTGACCATGGCATGCCTGCTAGGACCCTAGTTTCTCCCGGCAGTGTCCTGTGTTCGCAGAGGACAGGTCGGGGGTCTGGTCATATCTGTCTGTTTCTTACACTTGGGTGGTATTATAAATTATATTTTATTTCAACTGTCATTATTCATTATTATTTATATAGAAATGCAATAGGCTTTTTGCTTTTGTGGTACAGGATCAAATCCAGGTCTCACACACGCTAGGCAAGCTCTGTCTCCCGAGCTACACCCCAGATCCCTATGATTGATTTTTGTACATTGACATTATATGCTGATATTTTAATTAAACCCACTTATTTAGATTTTGTAGGATTTATTATTTGGACCATCATCTTGTCTAGGTTTTACTCCATTCCATGATTTTGGAATTGGATGCTTTTAATTTTTATTGCTGGGTTGCATGAAGCCGTGGGGCAGAGGTCCTTGTCTTGCTCTTGATCTTAGAGGGAACCATTCAGTTTTGCAGCAGGAAGTGTTGTGATAGCTTTGGTTTCTCATCGGTGTCTTTATGCATTTGGTGGTGTCTTGTGTTCTCATCAGCGGCAGAGGCTGGGTTCTCTCTCCTCCTCAGTGGGGTGTTTCCTCGTTGGAGAGGTAGCACTGCACGGCCTTCCAGGCCAAACCCAACTGGTCATGATTGAGCCATTGTATGTGTCACCGATTCTGTTTGAATTTTGAGATCATGTCCACAGGTGACAATGGCCTAGTGTCCCAGCCCCCAAGACACTGTATTCTTGCCTGGCACTAGAAATATGAAGGCAGACCCTGTGCTCTTAGTTGCAAGAGTGGGAGGGAGACCCTCTCCCTGGTCCCCAGCGTGGCTGGAAGGGGAGGGACTCTCTGCTTGACCAGCTTCATTGAAACGTGCAGTCCGTGGCTGCAAGTTCGACAGGTGCCAGGAGTCAGTGGCCCGGATCCCGATCAGCTCTGGACAACCCCAGAAGCCACTGGGTCTCACAGAATGAGTCGTGCATTTCCACTGCCACTCACGTCCTTTTGGACCACCCCGCCCAGTGTGCCTTGCTGGCGGAAACGCAGCCTCCTCCACTGTGTCCAGCTCCCCCCCACACACACCTGGGTGCTGCCCAGAGATGCTCGTGCCAGGGCACTCTCCTCCCCTCTGACCTCTGGACACCTGCTCTGACATTCCTCCCTCTAACAATCAGAAAACGAGGCAGGCTCCCCTTCTAAGCAGCCCCTCCCCAGGAGAGTGTGCTCCCCCAGGAAGAAGCCAGCTCCTGGGACCCTGTGCCTTCCCTCCGGACCTTTCCTCCTCTGCCTTCTCTTCCTGCAGACCTGGCAGTGGTAAGTGGCACATGATGATGCCAATGTGTTCTCTTACCCAGGAACAACCATCGAGTCTGGAGAAGGGATGACGTACTTTGTGCCCATCATTGATGGCTGTCCTTTGCTTCAGTCAACCACCCAGATGAACGTAGCCGGCCAAGACCTGACCATGTACCTTATGCAACTGTTGGCCCAAGAGGGGAACCTGCTGGTGAGCACAGGTAGGAAACCGCTATTCACAGCCAGGTAACGGGGTGTGATGTCTTTCCTGGCCTACTCAACCTGCAGCCCTCAGTCGTAAAGTTAAGGCAACAGGACCAGCCTCCCAGTTCTAACTCAACCCTCTATATGTAGGGACATTTCTTCCCTTGACAATGATGAGAAAGATGATGGTGATGATCATGGTAGGGTGATGATGGTGATGGTGATGATGTTGAGGGTGGTGGCAATAGTGATCATGTTGGTGA